GGAAACAGGGCAAATGAACAGAGAAACGGCATGCAACTGACATCAAGCCTGTGAAAGGAACGCGGGAAAGAACACGTAAACCAAGTGATGATTGATTTTGGTTTTATCCCAGGTAAGGAACGGATCATTAGCATCAAAAATAGAACCTGTATAGTAAAAGGCACTTGCTGGACGTTTTCCCTATGGCTCCTTTTGTACGATTTTTCTAAGCAATATTTTTTTGAAAATTGCCCACCCCAACTTTCATGAAAAAAAAATAATAATAATGGTCTGTCCCTAAGATGACAAACAAAATGTGCTTTCTAGTGCTGTCCCGATTGTGCTCGTAAAATGCTGGAAATGCCAAAGAGTTGCCTCCTAAATTTCTTGATATTTTTATACAAACTTTAATATACAAGCTCTCTTTTTCGTTCTTCACAATAATTGCCAACATCGGTCTAGAAAAATAGCTTGAAACTTAGCTTTTAAGAGTTGCTCGCAAATCTGTGCGAAATTTATGGCACTCTAAAGTCTACCAGAACAAAGCACACGGCTCCTTTGATGACCTGCCGAACTTTGTCAAGTGACGTGTGTTCAAAACTTAAAAAGTTGATAAAAATTCAAGAAATTCGCAAAATTTTCTATGAAATCTTTGACTTTTTCATGCTTGATATGCGCTCTGAACCTATATTTAGCTCAAAAGTTGCTCAGAAAGGTAAAACTTGCTGGGGGTTGCGCGAACCGCAAAAAGTTGCACCAAACGCCAAAGTTACTAAAAAGTTGCCCAGCACAATCGGACAGACCTAGTGCTTTTCATTATGCTAAATCGACCGTTCAGAGGGCAGTAGCATTAACCAGACAAGGAAAAATGAAAGATATTTCTGATCAAACTTGGTCATCGAGAGGACTGGCTCTTCAATTGGGCTTCGAACCGAAATTCCCGGACTTTTGGCATAATGGAAAGCACCTACAATATCATTGATTTGTTAGAATCCCTTCTATTGACAGTCAAAACTGAATAAAGATATTTACAAAATTTGAGCAAACCGTACATATTAATCACTTTCGAAACTCACGTTAATTTATTTTACAAATTTCTTCTAACTTAATTTGTTCAAAATTCAAAACTGCTATGTGGCTATCCGAATAAATGATCAGAAAATCATTTTACAGCTATCTAAACTACAGCAAGAATTATCCAAAATGAATTTTTATCTTTAGCTTCAGTTTCCTAATGTAATCAGATTCCCGCATTTTTGGAACGAGATCTCCAAGTGAAGTGGCCAATTTTCTTTCTTCAAAAAACACTCTTTTCATAACATTTTAAATTGTGATTTAAGCACAAATCGAAGTTAATAACCGCAGTATATAATGTGTCGTGGCGAGAAAATTTACAGGAAATTTGTCGAACAAGCTCATTGCCATAGTATCATGAAAAATACAAGCACATTTTCCTGAATCCAAAAAATAAAGGAAATAGTCGTTAATATTTCAAACGCGAGTTATTGCTTTAGGATTAGAAATACGATTTCATCGAAAGACGATCGAAAAATGATTCGTATTTGACATTCACCCTTCATGGCACTGTAATGACTCATGCATGACGTCTAAGAGATTTTGAAATTGGCCACATACTGCAACATGTTATTGTTAAATTTATTTTTCGTAGTTAAAATACAGTTATCATCGGTGATTTTGCTCCAAATATTTATTTAGAATTCCGGCTTTGTATACTTATTTATGTACCAACACTTATCCTTGGAAAAATTGTTCCCTCTCTCTGTTAATTACAACACGGGTTAATAACTTTTGCATCCATGTTTGAGTATATTTCCGGATCCAGTCACTCTAAAATGTCTATATTCTGTGTATCTATTGCTTGGGACTGTGGAGTATAGTTTGCGATTGTAAGCTTTTTTTTCCACTGTAATCACATTCTTTTGCCGCACAAACACTGCATTGTAATCGCTGGCACCAAAGAGGGCATAAGTCAAATCGCGGATGTGTCTTCTTTTTCCCTCGGCAGGTATTCCTCTGAAGAAACAGAGCATGTTTTATGCATTTACCGAACAAAGGTAAGGCAAAGCATACACATTAGAACTTTAAGTAGTCGATTACATGTGCATTTTTATTGTTTCTAAAGAAAACTTAAAGATTTTAAGATACACTAAGCTTCATTGATTATAGATTCGTTTCCTGATAACGATTATACGAAGTTCTTTCTCATTGATCAGTTCATCAGCAGTTATTCTGTGTTTTGGTTCGTTTAAGTTTGTTAATATTATTGGCACTGATCTGGATCTCTGGACATTCCTTTGTGTCGCATTATGATGACATTTAGTAAGTGACACGAACGAGTTTTCATTCAATGAAATTTTACCACCGATATGACGCCGAGATCTTCCAAGCTCCTTAGTGTGCTTCGGTAATTCACTTTTGCGCTGAATGCCTTTCCCTCCTGGGGCATTTTCAGTCTGAACTGTTGCAATTTGTTTATTGCACTGTTGTGTGAATATCTGGTCGCTTGCTACCCTCGATGGAGCTGACATGGGCCTCTCCTTCACTAACTCATTCCGCCCCTGCCGAAAGGTGTCTGAACACATCATAGCACCGAGAGATTCTGACCTCAGCAATCAAGCGCCCGTTTTCTCGCTTTGAAGCTTTTCAACATCTAGCGATACCACAGAACAGCGACGTTGCCTAATATATGTGACGTGAAGTGCGAGTTAATGACCTGTTTCTGCTACATAACAGCTCCAAGGTAGCTTTTCTTAAGCGGTGGTTTCTATATCAGTACAATAGTGGGTTGAAAAGAGAGTTTA